TAGGATGCTCAGAGCCTGTGCTGCATCCTCACCCCCAGGTGAAGCGGCATCATTGATTGGAGGGTACAAGCAGGATCATCTCAAGTTTGTGGTCACCTTTGGCTTAGCAAGTTAGAGGTGAGATAAGACATGGTACCCTGTACCACCACCACCCCGCAAAAGGCAACAAAGAGTGTCTTAGTTAGGGTTTCTATTGATGTGAAGAGGCACCATGACCACGGAAACTCTTACAAAGGGAAACAATTAACTGGGTCGGGCTTAGAGTTCAGAGGTTTAGTCCATTATCCTCATGGCAGGAGACAGCGGCATGTGGGCAGACATAGTGCTGGAGAAAGCTGAGGGCGCTACACCTTGATCCACAGGCAGCAGGGAGTGAACTGTCACACTGGGCACAGCTTGAACATATACGAGACTGTAAAGCCCACCCCACAGTGACACACTTCCTCCAATATGGCCATGCCTACTCCAACAAGGCCACACTTCCTAATAGCGACACTCCCTATGGGTCAAGCACTGAAACACACAGGGCACTGAAACACACAGGTGCTCAGGGGTCAAACCTATTCAAACCACCACAGAGAGTTAGGAGAAACGACGAGGGATGCGGAGGAAGAGAAAGAACACCTGTCCCCAAACTATTCCTGAAAGTAGAGAGGGAAGAAACACAAATCTCATTCCACAAAACAAGGTTACTCATACCAAAACCAAGTCAGATATAAGAACAAAGAAAATGAGAAAAAGCTATCGCCCAGTCCTCTGGATGAATGTAGATGTTCTCAATACAATACCAAACCACTGGGAAATCAGAGCAAGTGACGCCCTGTGTTTGACCCCCACCAGTGTAATTTAATGAATTAAAATGCCTTCAAACCAAATTCAGCAAAATATTAAAGAGATCACACACCAAGATTCCGTCAGTTTCATTTCAAGAATTCCCCTTCACCAAACAGAAATCAATAAGTAAAACACACAAGGCACATAAATCTAATCAGGGACAAAAATGAAACAGACATCTCCACATACACAGGAAAAAGCCTATGACAGAGTCCCACATCATTTCACACTAAAAAGCCTGGAGGAATTTGGGAAAGAAAGATACCATCACAGCAAGACAAAGGTTAGACAGGACAGACTCACAGCCAACACTACAGCAATCAGAGAAGAGGTGAAAAGATTTGCTGTAAAGTCAGGCGTGTCCACTCTCTCCACACTTCTCCAGTACAGTGTTTGTGTTCTCTAGCAGAGTAAGGAATAAAAAGGGCACAGGTGGGGGAAAGGTCAGATTATCCATATTTGCAAATGGTGGTCTACACTTGAAAGACCAGACTCGGCCAGGTAGTGTTGGTGCACACCTTTAGTCCCAGCAGAGGCAGGCAGAGCTCTGTGAGTTCGAGGCCAGTCTGCTCTACAGAGTTCCAGGACAGCCAGATACAAAGAGAAACTCTATCTGGGGGCTGGGGGTGGGTAGGGATAGTTGGGTGGTGATGGCTCACAAGCTTAATCTCAGCACTTGGGAAGTAGAGGCAGGTGGATCTCTGTGAGTTCGAGGTCAGCCTGGTCTATAGAGTAGTTCCAGGACAGCCAGGGCTAACAAAGAGGAAACCAGTCTACAAAACAAACAAAACATCCCAATAACACCCCTCACAGAAACAAACAACCCTAAAGTTCATATGAACATACAGAGACCTCCAATAACCACAGCAATCGTAAGAAGAAAGAGCAAGGTTGGGGATCTAAAATATCTGACCTCAAATAATACCGGAGTAACAAAACAGCTCGTACTGACCCAAAACAGACACACAGACCGATACAACAGAATAGAGAACCCAGAGCTGAAAAGACAGCCCAGTGGCTAAGAGCACTCACTGGCTGCTCTTCTAGAGGACCTAGGTTCAATTCTCAGCCCCCATATGGTAACTCACAACTGTCTATGACTCCAGTCAAGGGGATCCAATGCCTTCTTCCGGCCTCTGTAGGCACCAGACACGCAAGCAGTAACACAGACATACAAGTAGGCAAAACCTCACGTACATTAAAAAAATAAGTCTTATTAAAAGAGAAAACCAGAAACAAACCCACACAGGTACAATCCCCTAAGTTCCGCAAAGGTTAAAGGGCAGCCTTTTCTGCACAGTGTCCTGGGAAAACTGGATAGCCGTGTGTAGAATGAAACTAGAGCCCTCTCTCACCCTGCTCAAAAAAAAAAAAAAAATCAATTCAAACTGGATCAAAGACCTGAATGTGCAACCTGAAAGGAAAAAATAGAAAATACACTGTAGGCAGAGATCTAAGCAAGGAGTTGCCGAAAAGTCCTTTAATGGCTCAAGAGGTAATATGGAGAAGGACTGATGGGGCGGGGACTGATGGGGCGGGGACTAGAGAGTTGGCTCAGAGGCTGAGAGCACCTGTTGCTCTGTTCATAGTACCCACATGGTGGCTCACAACTGCACTTCCTGTGGATCTGAACCCCAGAGACCACAGGAGCATGGGTGTGGTCCACAGACATACATGCATTGAAGCCCTCATGCACTGGATCTGACACTCTTTTCTGAACCCCAGAGACCCTGGGAATATGGGTGTGGTCCACAGACACACATGCATTGAAGCCCTCATACACTGGATCTGACACTCTTTTCTGAACCCCAGAGGCCCCAGACATGCATTAAAGCACTGATACACATAAAGCAAAATAAATAAGGCTGAAAAAAAAAACAAAAGAAGAAGAATCAATTAATTCAGGCAGGCATACACCTTTAGTCCCAGCCCTCTGGAAGCAGAGACAGAAAGATCTCCATGAGTTAGAGTCTAGCCTGGTTTACATAGAGAGTTCCAAGCCAGCTAGAGCTACATAGTGAACCCCATCTCAAAGAAAGAAAAAAAAAATTAAAGAACTGACTAATGGGATTGTATGAAATTTAAAAGCTTTTCACAGCAAAGGAAACCAGCAGAGTGAACAGAGAGCCTGCATAATGGGAGAAAATCTTTGCCAAGTAAACATCTGGTGGGGAATTAAATATCTTGAATCTATAGAGAACTCAATCCAGACTTAGTGGCTCACACCTGTAATCTCAGGACTGGGGGAGATGAGACAAGATTGCCAAGGGTTTGAGGCCAGCCTGGGCTACGAGCCTGCAGTGTATACAGTGTGGAGGCCCGTCTCAAAGAGACAGACAGAAAACAGACTCACAGGTGTGGTAGCACGAACTTGTGATTCCAGCACTTGGGAGGCAGAGGCAGGAAGAGCAGGATCACAAGGTCAGACCTGTTTATGTAATGAGTTCAAAACCAGCCACGGACACACAAAAACTAGTCTCAAAAGAAGAAAAAAAAAAAAAAAAACACAGGAAGACGCCTGTTGTGGCTTGAAAGAGAATGGCCCCATAGGCTCATATGCCTGAATACCTGGTTGCAGGCTGGTGGAACTGCTTGGGAAGGATGAGGAGGTGTGGCCTTGCAGGCAGAGGTGTGGCACCGGGGAAGGCTTTGAGATTTCAAGGGAGTCATCAGGGCCATCCCCAGTGTGTTCTCTGCTTCACCCCTGTGCATCAAGATGGGAACCCTCAGTTGCTGCCCTGCCGTGTCTGAGGCCCACTTTGTGCTACCTCTTGCCATCACGGACTCTAAGCTTCAGGGACTGTAAGCCCAATTAAACACCTGCTCTTATAAGGTACCTTGGTCATCTTGGTGCTTTATCACAGCAATGGAAAAGTAAGACAACAATCCCGGTGTCAACCTTTGGTCCCCGTATGTACACACACACACACACACACACACACACACACACACACACTTTAAGCTACAAAAAAAAAATCTCACTAAGTATACTATCTATAGGAATTCTTCATATCTAAATAAGGCTTAGTACTTTTTCTAGAAAAATTTTAATTTCTTACATGCCTAATACTATAAATGTGTAACAACAAATACTTGGGGGAAATTGCAAATATTAGCTGGATATGGTATCACAGACCTATATATGGAGCACTTAGGAGGCTAAGGCAAGAAGATCATGAGTACACTCAAAGTCAATACTCAAAAACAAAAATCGAAACACTGCCCAGCTGTTTTAGAGAGAGGAAGAGTATCCCTCATTGACACACAATGAAATATACATTTCCTAAAATCTGTACCCACAAAGAAACTATAAGCAATAAAAAAATGCTACCCTGGTGGCTGGCTAACATTAATTTTCAAAAAATTTTATAATGGAAGTGTGCATGACATAATCTAAAGAAGTGGGCTGTGTCTCAGAGGTAGAGAGCACTTCCCTGGCATGCAGGAGGGCTTGAGTTGACTCCCTAACACACACACACACACACACACACACACACACACACACACGTTATAAACATATAGACCATACTAGTACATATAAATTATATCTGCATGTGTACACACAGAGAAGAAAGAGAGGAACCAAACACTACCCAAGACCTACTCCTATTTAAACTGCAAGGAAAATTAAACGACACAGAAAGGGGGTTCCTCAAGATGCCTGGGGGGACAAGGGGGCTTGCCACCAAGCCTGATGATCCAAAGAAGGGCGAAAGGACGAAGCTGACTCTTGCAAAGGCGCCCGCCACTCAGGCATGACGGCACACACAGTCACACACGCACAGATAATATATATACTAAAGTAATTTTAAAAAGAGAGAGAGAGAGAGAGAAGGGCTAGAGAGTTGGTTCTAAGGTCAGGAACATTGGCTGCTCTTCCGGAGGACCTGGGTTCAATTCCCAGCACCCACATGGCAGCTTATAACCATATGTAATTCCAGTTACAAGGGACCCTACACCCTCTTCTGCCTCTGAAGGCACCAGGCATGCAGGCGGCGCACAGATATATACCTGCAGGCAAACACCCATACACACAAAACCAAAGTTAAATTTAAATAAATAAATAAATAAGAAACAAAAAGCTTTGTATTAAAAGAGATCATTTTCCTCACCTCACAAAAAGCACAAAACATTTTTTTAATCCAAAAGAAAGCCATTTCACTTACTAGCATGCTTATCGGCAAGCATTATAAGTGTGTTGGAAATGTCACGTCGTCTATAGAAGCACACGACTTTTGCTTCCACGTTGCCACTTGCAGTCTAAGAAACAAGAAAAATTAAAGTCACATGAGGCCTGAAGTCTTGATGATAACATGTGCTGACAGCCCCAGCATTTGGAACTAACTCGGAAGGATTGTGCAAAGTTTTTGTTTGTTTGTGTGTTTTTTTTTTTTTTTTGGTTTTATGAGACAGGGTTTCTCTGTATTGTTTTGGAGGCTGTCAGTCCAGCCTGGCCTTGAACTCGGAATGTGCAAAGTTAGCAGCCAGTCTGGTCTATGCAGAGAGTTCCACACGTCTATCTAGCCAGGGCTAGATAGCAAGACACTGTCTCAAAAAGCAAACAGCATCAGCAAAACCTGGAGAGAAGGAAAGGGAGAAAGAGCTCCTCCAATTTTGTGTGTATGAGTGTTATGAGACAGGGTGGCCTTGAACTCATAAACCTCTTGTCTCCACCTCCCTCAGGCATTCACAACCATACCAGTCAGATTAAGCCCTCCAGGTTTTTTCTTGTTTTTTTTCGTTTGTTTGTTTGGTTGGTTTGGTTTTTCGAGACAGGGTTTCTCTGTGGCTTTGGAGGCTATCCTGGAACTCGCTCGGTAGACCAGGCTGGTCTCGAACTCACAGTGATCCGCCTGCCTCTGCCTCCCAAGTGCTGGGATTAAAGGCATGCGCCACCAACGCCCGGCAAGCCCTCCAGTTTTAAAAGCCACTAATAATTTGTTCTCGGTGCTGAATGTAGTCATCTTTGAAAAGCATGGCTGTACATTGCTCAAACCCATCCCCAGAAGTTCCCGGTTCTACAATGACTCTCTGCCCGGGGCAGTAGCCAGCAGGCAGGACAGGATAGAACAGCAAAAACACCCTCCACAGAGTCAAGAGTCTCCGTTTTTCTTTCACGTATGAAAATATCCAAAGCTGTAAGTTTCCAACATGGGACTCTTCTGATTAGAGTCTATAATACAATCGGCATTCAGTTGGGCTGTAATTTACTGCAGCTGAGGCCCAGGCTCCTACTCTAATATCTATAAATTCTGCAGGCTTTCAAGCAGGTCGATCATTCACTAGCAAGCTCTTCATAAAAACACACAGATTACAATAAAATGTTACTGTAATGCCCAATTCCTGACGTGCGTGGCACACGCTTTCAGAACATGTCTGGGCTTAAAGATATATTCAAATATAAAGAACATACACCATACTAAATTTGTCAATTTTACCCCAAGTTCAGCAGCAATATTTTAGTTCAGCAGCAATAATTCAGTGAGAAACGGTACTGTGGAGATATTGCCCCTTCAAACTGAAATCATATTAAGTTCCTACCCAAATGCCAATATATTTCATAATGCTGTGATCAAACTCATCCTCCAAAAGCAATGATCCAGCAATCTGCTAAATGAACAGGCCGATATTCCTATGTAAATAAAATCTAGGGCTTCGCTCTAAGCATTTTCTCATTTCTGTCTCATTAGTGAGCTCTCCTAACAGCAATGCTCTGCAAAGATGACTAAGTTCCCTGTTAAACCTGCTTGAGAGATAAAGATGCAGTTCAGAATATTTCTTTTCCTTTTAATTTATTTTTTTATTTTTTTATTTATTTTTTTGCTTTTTGAGACAGGGTTTCTCTGTGTAGCCCTGGCTGTCCTGGAACTCTCTCTGTAGACCAGGCTGACCTTGAACTCAGAGATCACTTGCCTCTGCCTCCCAAATGCTGGGATTAAAAAGGGCATACCAAGACAGGCGTTGGTGGCTCACGCCTTTAATCCCAGCACTGGAAGGCAGGTGGATCTTTGTGAGTTTGAGGCCAGCCTGGTCTACAAAGTGAGTTCCAGGACAGCCTCCAAAGCTACAGAGAAACCCTGTCTCAAAAACCCAAAAAAAAAAGCTGGGTGATGCTGGCTGTGGTCATGAACATCTTTAATCCCAGCACTCAGGAGGCAGAGGCAGGAGAATCTCTGTGAGTTCAAGGTCAGTCTGGTCTAAATAGTGAGTTCTGGGACAGCCAGGGAGGGCTACACAGAGAAACCCTTTCTCAAAATAAGAACTCTTTGGGTCTGGAGATAGCTCAAAGGTTAAGAGCACTGACTGCTCTTCCAGAGGACCGGAGTTCAATTCCCAGCACCCACATGGCAGCTCACAACGGTCTGTAAGTCCAGTTCCAGGGTAATCAAAACCCTCACGCATATACATAGGCAGGCAAAACACCAATGCACATAAACTAAAAATAAATAAATTACACATAATAAGAACACCCGCAGGACTAAGGGATGTGGCTTAGTGTGGGGTACATTCCTAGGATGTGCACAGCGTGGGGGTCAATCCCCAGTAACAAAAATCCTCTCCTGGGCCACACACACTCTTGACTATTGGGTCACTCACAATAGTGCAGCATTGTTCTTCCCTTACGGACTAGAGTAGCTTTGTCCTTCCCCCAGGACTACAGTACAGCATGGTTCTTCCCTTCCACAACGCACACATGAACCATTCCTCTGAAGCCCTGCTATTCTAAATAATGGTCCATTGAACAGTGACTAGCCTGCAACAGTTTCTGGTCTGTACAGAAGAGAGTGCAGGGGTGGGAGTGGGGGGTGTGACATAGATGCTAAGAGTTAACACTGAGCTTGGAGGGAAGACACAGAACATAGAATTGAAGACAAGCCTGGGCTTTGTCTTTTTTTCCTGAGACTTTGTCTCAAAGCAAAAACAAACAAACAAGCAAAAACAAGGGTTATACACAGCTCAACGATATAGCCCTGGCCCAGCATGTTCAAGGCCCTGGGTTCAATTCCCAGCACTTCAAATGGAGAGCTGGGGAAATCAATGTGAAAAGTTCCTAACTTCCATGCCTATTGCCAACAGCTCCCAAACTGCAGGGGCGATCCTGACTAAGGCTCCATGAAACGGTTTTAGGGGATCTTTGGAAATTATTTGCAAGAACATGTATATGCAGGTGGGGTAACTCAGTATATCACCAATGCTTTAAGCTCTGGCATTCAATAGGGAGAGACAGGAGGATCACACAGGTTTGATCCAGCTCTGTCTACATTGCAAGTTCCAGACCATCTCAAAAAAACAACACGGCTCAGTGGTTGGGCATTTGTCCAGCATGTGCAAGGGCCTGGGTTCAGTGTTTGGGAGTAGTGTGGTAGTATCTAGGGAAAGCTACAGGTATAGCTCAACACCCTAGCAAGTGAGTCTTGTGGGAGCCCATATGTGATTACAGCGTTCCGGAGGCAGAGGCTCATAGTAGAGGCAGGGCCAAAGCTATGTGTGACCCTGCTTCAACAATAGATACTTGGAGATCCGCATGAACCACCAAGAAAGTTCAAGACCAATTCGGGGGCCATAGCAAGACTTGTCTCAATGGTGGGCGTGATGGTACACACCTCTAACACTAGCACTTGAGGCAGGCAGATTTCTGTGCTTTTGGCGCTAGCCAGCCTGACACAGGAAGTTCCAGGCCAGCCAGGACTACATAGAGAATGTAAGGACTCAGGCATTATGCGGGCCTGCCCCTGTCACCTGGCAGAATGCACTCAGGCAGTGCCCTGGTCAGCCCAGGGTTCCATGGTTTCCTGACTTACATGCAGGTGCAAAGGACCCTTTAAAAGAAAGACCCTCACCCACTTACGCTGTCTTTCCTGCTCCTCTCTCTTCCCTTTCTCTTCCCTGCTGTTCCCCTGGGGCAGTCAGGACTTTTCCTGTCTCCCTCTTCTCCTGTGTCCTCTCTGTGTCTCTTTAACTCTTTCCTCCGCCCCCCCCCCATCCCCTTTCCCTTTCTAATAAAACTCACTAAACTCTGTCTGCTTGGCTTGTTTGTCCCCCTCCTCGGTCACCCTCGCATGCCATGGATTCCCCCAGGTCCCCCTCCAGCTTTATCATAACAGAGAAACCAGGTCTCAAAAAATAAAGTACGCAGTCTCAATCTTTGGTTTTACCGTGTGTGTGTGTGTGTGTGTGTGTGTGTGTGTGTGTGTGTGTGTGTGTGTACAGGAAAGTGTGTGTGTCCATGTGTGTGCGAGCACGTGGGATGAGGGTTGGGCCTGGTGGCAGGCAAATTTTACCCACTGAACCACATCCCCGCCTTCTCTTTCCTTTCTTATTCTGTCTTGCATTAGTAGGGATAGTCAGCCTTAGAAAAGCAAGCGCTGTACCACTGAACCACACAGCCTTGAATTAAATATTTGAAGGTGATAAATGACGTGGAAAAAAGGCAAGCAAGAGGCATTTGTATTTGTCTTTTGAGACAAGGTCTCCAGTTGTTTGGGCAGGCCTTGGGCTCTCCACTGGCTGCTATAGACTTCCCATCCCCCAGCCTCTGTCTCCCCAGCACTGGGACTATAGGTGTGCACCACCACACCCAGCTTCTTCTACGCTAGGCATTGAACCTGGGAGCTCTGCATGTGCTCGGGTAGCACTCCGCCAGCGGAGCTGTATTTGGCACTTCTAGACACTCAAAGAGCACAGGTGACATAAAACACGTACTTAAGAGATGAAGATAGGGCCGGGCGTTGGTGGCGCACGCCTTTAATCCCAGCACTCGGGAGGCAGAGGCAGGTGGATCTCTGTGAGTTCGAGACCAGCCTGGACTACCAAGCGAGTTCCAGGACAGCCTCCAAAGCCACAGAGAAACCCTGTCTCAAAAAACCAAAAAAAAAAAAAAAGAGAGAGATGAAGATAGTTAGCTCAAGTCTCACAAATAAAAGTAAAATTACAGAAGTCATACACAGATAGCATTCTGTCATTAGTTGCCTCTTTTGAGTTGGGGGAGGGGGATTGGGTGACAGAACCCAGGACCTTGCACAGACTCCTTAAAATTCTGGAACTTTTTGGATTCCAAACTAAAGCCTCTCGATAAACAGAGTTTGATATTGTTTATCTTGTGCCCTTTTGGCTGTATGTGGTGCACGACTCGAATCTCAGCCCTCGGGAGGGAGCACCAGGAGCTCACAGCCAGCCTGGACTTCAGGCGACCGACCCTGTCTCAAAACCAGAAATGAAAGCCCAGACTTCTCTTCTTTGACTTTCCCCTCACCTGGGCTCAGATGAAAAGATAACTTTTTGGAGGAGGAGTGTAGAGGAAAACACACACACACATATAAACTTACACATTCTACATTGTGTTTTCAATACCTACTTTCCTGAACTAGTGAGTATCACAGTCTTTTGTTTCAGCCAGCTACACGTTTTAAGGATCTTGAGATACATGGCTGGCACATAGCTAAAGCCATTAACTAAACAATTGTTGAACTGATGACTTTCTGAATTGTCTCGTGTGTATACTTATACATAGCATTGCTATTCACCGCGAACTTTGATTCAGCTTGTTTTTCTTTCTTCCACCCCCTCCCCCACCCCAGGAGACAGGGTTTCTCTGTGTAGTCCTGGCTGTTCTAGAACTCACTCTGTAGACCAGGTTGGCCTCTAACTCACAGAGCTCTGCCTGCCTCTGCTTCCCACACACACACACTGATTTCTTTACTGCTGAGATTTTAATTCTTTTTCCCACTGTGTTTTAAAGTTTGTTTTCCTTCCCTTTTTGTTTCTAAGACCCATCTCTCACTGGCCTGGAACTCCCCAAGGAGGTTCACCTGACTGGCTTGTGAGCCTCAGGGCCAGGGTTCGAAGCGTGAGCCACTAAACCGGTTTTTCTTTCTATTTTTCCATACGGGTTCTGGGGACTGAACTCGGGTCCTAATGCTTGCAAGACAAGTGCTTTACCAACTGAGTCATGTTCCCAGCCTTTCATTGTATTTTTTTTTCCAGACAATCTCAGGAATAAAACCCAGGCCAGACTTGAACTAGATATAATATTCTTGTGTCAGTCTCCTAAGTGCTAGGATCACACTGACTCATTTTACAATCTTAGGTTTGGTGGTGGTGAGACAAGGCCTCATTCTGTAGCCCAGGCTAACCCTGAGGTCCTCCTATGTGCCTATCTATAGGCATAAACCACTATGCCTAGTTTAGAAGAATTCTTCCTTCTAAAGCTAGGGGAGGCAAATATTAATTCACTAACAATTGCAAAACAGAGCACTTGGGAAGCTGAGGCAGGAGGATTTCTGAAGTCAGTGAAAAAGCCTGTCTCAAACAAACAAGCAAAATACATACTACAGTTCTAAGTATGTAAAGGAACCGACCTGATCTTCAACACTCAACACAATTTGAAGAGATCTGCAACCTTCCACTCAATAACATCTGACCAAAACAAACAAACAAACAAACTCTATCTAAAAAGTAAACACTCAGAAGTCTTAATCATTAACGTGGAACTGAACAGCAGGCGGCGCACACCTTTAATCCCAATGCTCAGGAGGCAGGGGCGGGCTGATCCGTGAGCTCAAGGCAGTCTACAAAGCGAGTTCTAGGACAGCCAATGCTACAAAGAGAAAACCTTTCTCAGGGGTGAAAAGATGAATTCTTACTCTGAAACTGAAAGTAAAAAAATCACCCCTTCGCCCCTTTAGCCATAACCCTTCAGGGGAAGCACCTAGATTCACCAAACAACACTCCTCACCTTGTTGAGCTCTTCTATTCTTCTGATTAGGTATGGGTTGCTGGATGAATTCTCAAAGTAAACATAATCTGCAATCAAAAAAGTTAAAGATCTCTTCAACAAATAGTTCACATTAGTCAGGCTCCATTTTTTTTTTTTTTTTGGGACAGGGTCACACTGCATAGCCCTGGACATCTTAGAACTTCCATATTAACCAGACTGGCCTCAAGCTCACAGAGCCCCACTTAACTGTACCTAAGATTAAAGTGCTGGGATTAAAAGTACGCAAAAGTTTATTGGGCTACATCTTTCTACACTGGGCAGTCCACCTCCGTTAAGCAGGTAATCCACTCATCTGAAATATGCAAACTCAATTAGCTGTATGTACCATGTCCGTTACTTTCCTAAAATTCCCATTTCTAAGCAGCCCAAACTGATTTACAACCCAACATCCCCCTGCCTCACACTCCCAAGTGTTGGGATTGGTGGCATGCATCACACCCTGCTTAAGCTTTGCTATTAGAAATAGTTTTCCATTAGTCCAAGGTGGTAAGAGGTAGCTAGCTATGTAGCTGAGCCTGGCCCTCCGCTCTGAGCCTCCTGCCTCCACCTCTTACAAGCTGAATTTACTGGCATGTGCCACAAAGCCCAGCCTTAAAGTAATTCGTTAATAATAAAAGAAGCCTGACTTGGTGTAATGGGGGTGGGGGCAAAGGCAGGATTAGAAAGCAGGAGCCAGCCTCAGCTACACAGCAAGACTTTGCCTCAAAAAAAAAAAAAAAGAAAGAAAAAAGAAAAGAAAGAAAAGCAAGGGGCTGAGGAGATGTTCAGTGGTTAAGAGCACTGACTGCTCTTCCAGAAGACCCGGGTTCAATTCCCAGCACCCACATGGCAGGCAGCTCCCAGCTGCCTGTAGCTCCAGTCCCAGGGGACCTGTCATCCATGGAAAAACACCAATGCACATAATAAATAAATAAATAAATAAATAAATAAATAAATAAAGCAGAAGCCTTAAGTCCCAGCACTTGGGAGGCAGAGGCAAACAGATCTCTGTGAGGCCAGCCTGGTCTACAGAGTGAGTTCCAGGGCAGCTGGGGCTATAGTAAATGCCCCGTCTCAAACAAAACAAGACAAAAGCCACCACAACAGTGATGGCCAGACATCTCCATCACCATGTATGAGAGCTCACTACCGCATCCTCCCAGCGGCGGCGTCCACACCCTGTCCCTCCAACCCAGTCAGCCCTGGAGAATGTTTCTTACATACAACTGTTGACCTCAGACAAACTTCAGAGCAAAGAGTAGGGCTTACCAGCCCAATCTCATTTCAAGCATCAACTTAAAAAAAAAAAAATCCGACGGGCAGAGACAGAGAAAGCTTGGTAACAAACTTTTCCATCTCTACCTGGGAAGGAGGACAGGGCTACTTGCTGGGAGGCAGAGCCGTCTAGGGAGGGTGTTGGATCGGATTTTTTTTTTTACATTTTTATCATATTTGATCTAACTCCATTTAGGCCCTTTCTTACAAGGAAATCATGGCAAGTTTTCAACTACACCTACAGGATTTCTCCAAGCGTGGCTTTTCACTGGAAACTCCCCACTGTGTGTTTATCTGAGACACTAGACTGCACAGTCACTGTCTACCTCTCTCCGGGCTCTCCGCTGCTAAGTGGCCTCATTTAAGCCAGGCCAGCCATTCCCCACCACCATCCATCAGGAGCCTCGCTAATGAGCAGAGAAGGAAGAAGAGCAAGCCTCACTCACAAACACGCCACTTATCTGAATTATTATTTTACCAGGAAGGAGGGAGGGAGGGAGGGAGGGCGTCGTGAGCAGGGAAAGTTTGTTTGACCTTATTTCTCTCTTCTGCAGAAGGGCTGGGGAGACAGACAGCAGACACAACGTCTAGGCTGAGCTCAGCTCCCCACCTGGGGCTGCGGCTCCCTGGGCCACCCACACCCAGCCCCACTCTCGGGGTGAGGGGTGGAGGGGCTGAACGCGAAACCGAAGGGAGTGGGGGGGGGGGGGTGAAGCAGCAGCGAAGGTACAGAGCCCCGGGCTTTGCAAACAGGCCTGTCCAGCTGTGTCCCTATCTGGGCCACCATCGCCCCCAGCCCCACACTCACACAGAAGCAGAGAGGCAGGGGCGGGGAGGGGAGGGGGCAGGTTGTCCCCAGCACCCCCCCACACACACACCCCCGGGGCCCAAAAGCCACGCGAGGGAGGAAGCCACTCGGCTAGGGGGGCCTCGCAGGGGCCCAGTCCCTTTGGGGCGTTCGTAAACCGGGGGAGGGTGTCCGATGCGTGTCCCCACGAGAGGCCTGGCCCCGGGACGCCGGGCGGGAGCGGTGGGGGAGGGGAGTGGGGGTGGGGAGCCCCTTGCGCCCGGCTCGCCCGCCCGCCCGCCCGCGGCGCTCTCGGTCCCGGGCTTCCCGGGGCTGCGGGGCGGTGAGCGTGCGTGCGCCGCCCGGACCCCCGCTCCCGCCGCCCGCGCCCCGACGGGCCGGGAAGGGCGAGCCTTCCTACCTCCGACCCGGTACATGTTGGCCGCCATGTCCGCCCGCCCGCCCGCGGAGCCCGAGCCGAGCCCCGCCCGCCGCCGCCGCCGCCTCGACCGCCGCCGCCGCCGCCGCCGCCGCCTCGCCACGGGGGAGGGGGAGGGATGGGGAGGGCCGGGGAGGGGGAGGGGAGGGGACACCGAGGGAGGGGGCTGTGCCCGCCCCCAGCGCCGGCCGAGCGACGCCGAGCCGGCCCGGGAGGCCGGAGCGCGGCGAGGGGACGGGGCGACGGGCTGGGGGACCGAGGACCCCGGGCCCCCGCCTTAGCTAGTGTCCCCGTGGCACACCAGGGCTCCCGGCTGGTGGGAGAGCCTGGGTGGGGACACAGGCGCAGCCGCTCCGAGCGAGCGTCTCCCCTGCCCTGGTCACCTGTCCGCCTTGGGACAGGTCCTGCCTTCCCGCTTCTGTCCCCGGCGACACCCCCTCCATGTGTGACCTCAAGCACATGAACGCCCTTCTGGGTTCCACTCTCCCGATCTGGTCAATGCGGGCGACAGATGCTTGAGTCCCTCCCTCGTGGTGACAGGGTGTTTGGTGGCTTTAGAGCCTGCAGGCCCTGGGGACCCCCGAGAAGACCCTGCGTGCTTGCAACTTGTCCAGCCTGAGACCCGGCCACCAAAAGAGGTCAAAGAAGCTGGCTCTCCAGCCCAACCACAGTGGCAGGTCTAGCAGAGAACTGAAACAGAGCTGAACAGACCCCAGAACCAACCGAGTCCCCCACATCCTCAGGCCCGGCCTCTAAACAGGCTCTGTTTAAGGCATGTGGTTTAACCTTTGGCACAGGAAGGCTTCCTTTGCCGGAGAGGGGAACTGGGTTTGCACAATCTGCCATTGCCCCCAGCAAAAGGAAGAGGTCCTGTCAAACAGTTGGGTGTAGCTGGTCGGCTAACTGGTTTTATGTCAAAAAGCCCCCCCCCTTTTTGCAGTATTTTGGATTGAAGCCTGGCTTTGTGCATCCTACTTACTGAACTTTCGAGAGTTTGTTGGTTTGTTTGTAGATTGTTAGTACGTTTAATTTTTTATTATATACGTCAGGGCATGAATGGTATGACACATAGGTGTAGGTCTATCATTTGGGACCCGGGGATGAACTCAGGTGCTCATTTCAATGGCTGTAAGCTCCTACACGAACTGTACTACCCCACCAGCCTTATTTATTTTAATCAGGGTCTCAGCTCCGGCTGGCTCTGGCTCTGCCTCTCAAGTGCTAGGACTATGTGACAGGTGTGGATAACACACCCTGCTGGAAAGCTTTTAAACAGTTAATTTTCCCTTGCTGATTAGCTATACATCCCCCTTTTCACTCTGGTTTATGGCCATCTTGGCATACAAAGCAAGATCTTCTTGAGTGCCTCATCCCAAAGGAACACACAACTTCCTTTAGGAAAGCCAAGTCGTCCCAAACTATACCCAGACATTGCTGCATAATAAGCATGCCCCTGATTGTCCACTAGTGCCTGGTGACACTGACTGAGGTCTGTGCCAGGGTAGGTGGTGTCCCCTGAAGAGGAGACTGCAGTTTGGCTGATGTTCCTTTATCGCAAGATACTGAGGAAAAATAATCTTATGAATAGCCGAGGCAAATAAACGAATGTGCTTTTGCCATTATTACACTGACTATTCCTTGGCCTGTTTTCGCATCTACAAAACGGAGAGGTTGCTTCCACGGCACAGGTGAGTGCTAAGGGTAGGCTGTGGTGACATCTGAAGGTGCTTTGTAAATCAGACAAACAGAAAGCCTCACATTCCAGAGGAGTTCGTAGAATGCTCCAGACTGTGAGCCCTTGGCTCTTCTGGCCCAGAGAAGAAAACATAAGTGCTTTGGTGCAATGACAGCGCAGCTGTTATTCATCCCAAACCTTTCGCTGGAGATCCCTCCAAAAACATATTGTGACTTGTCTCCACCACTCTCCATTTCTGAGCTGACACACAAATAGGCTAAATAATTCACCTGGAATAGTCTCCTGGCATCAGTCCTAAATGTAATTCAGTGTTTCCCTCTGGCCCATGAGAGCGTGTGAGCCACAAAGTCTGGCTTCTAGTAAGAATGCAGCCTGAAAACTTCAAAGAAATGGATCATGAGTTTTAGAAAGTTTGCTCATAATTTTTAAGTGATAAATGAGCAAGAGTGGGAGGCGGGCAGTTTACAGGAGCAGGGGCTCAGCAGGTAAAGATGCTTTGCAGCCAAGCTTGGTGACTGGAGTTTGGTCTCTGGAACCCACATGGTAGAAACAGAAAACCAATTTCTGTTGGTTGGTTGGTTGGTTTTTCGAGACAGGGTTTCTCCGTAGCTTTGGAGCCTGTCCTGGAACTTGCTCTGTAGACCAGGCTGGCCTCCAACTCATAGACATCCACCTACCTCTACCTCCCGAGTGCTGGGATTAAAGGCGTGCGCCACCAACGCCCAGCCAAGAGAATCAATTCTTAAAAGTTGGCCTCAGAGCCGGGTGGTGGTGGTGCACGCCTTTAATCCCACACTCAGGAGGCAGAGGTAGGTGGATGTCTGTGAGTTCAAGGCCAGCCTGGTCTACAGAGGGAATTCCAGGATAGCCAGAGTTGTTTCGTAGAGAAACCCTGTCTCAGGGAACAACAACAAAAAAGGTCTACAGAGCCCCACATGCACATCATAGCCTACATACGTGCACATTAAGTTTTTCTTGAAGCCCACTTGGGAGGCAGAGGTATGAAGAACAGGAAGTCAAGATTATCCCAAACTGCATAGCAAATCTGAAGCTATCCTGGGGTGTAGCTTAGTTGACAGAAAGTTTACCCACCATGCATGAAGCTCTGGGTTAGACCCCCAGTACGGAATAACCCAGTCTGATAGCCTAGGCTTCTAATCCCTGCGCCCAATCCTTGGGTTGGAAGTGGAGTTAGGGGGACCGAGAGAGAGCCCAAGATCTTCCTCAGCTACACGATTTAAAGCCATCCTGGACTACACGAGACCCGTCTCAGAAACGATAAGCACAGACATTTTCTTCCTCAAAATATGTGTGTATTCTTGTTACTTCCTTGTCTTTGTCGCATTTCCTCGGGTTTCTGAGGTCCCTGGACTTACCACAGTAAGTATGTGAAAGGTGCTAAGAGCATTTCCCACGCCCGTCCACACTCCGGTTTTCTCCTTAGGATCAGCCTTAGCCTGGAGACCCCATTAAAGACACAGAGACTTTGGGCAGAGCAGGACGTGATGACAGCCAGACCAGACTCCCTCACCTCCCCTAGATTCTCTGTGTAAGCCCCTTCAACCTCCAGCTCCCAGACAGGATCCTCTATATAGAAAATGTTCAGTACCTAAAAGAATGGGGGGAGGGAAGGATGGCTCAGCAGTTAGAGCACACACTACTTTTCCAGATGACCCAAGTTAAGATCCCAGAACAGATGACTTGCAGTTGTCTGTAACCCCATCTCCAAAGGATTCAACATCTTCTGGCCTCAGCACGTACCTACACTCACAGGCCTTTGCCAATGCATAAACACACACACACACACACACACACACACACATATTAAAATAAATCTTTTTTTCTGAGACAGGGTTTCTCTGTGTAGCCCTGGCTGTCCTGGAACTCGCTCTGTAGACCAGGCTGGCCTCGAACTCACAGAGATCCTCCTGCCTCTGCCTCCCGAGTGCTGGGATTAAAGGCATGCGCCACCCTGCCCAGCTATCAAAATAAATCTTAAAGCAAGAAAAGAATAAATGGTGACTGAGGTTGCAGCTCAGCTGGTAGAACACATTCATAGCATGCATGAAGCCCTGGGTTCAAGCCCCAGCATTGATGGGGTGCTGCATGCGAAGGACTCCTTCGCATGTTTGTGAGGTCCTAGTTCTCTCCACATTCTCAAGGGCTGCCTCAGGCTGGAGAGACAGCTCAGCGGTCCTCTTCCGGAGGACCCCGGGGTTCAATTCCCAGCACCCACACCACAGCTCACAGCTGTCTGTAACTCCAGTTCCGGGGGACCTGACACATATGACAAAACACCAATACAGATAAAAATTAATTAATTAAAAAAAGAGATGTCTACAAAAGCATGTCCGAAGCTCCAAAGCAAATCAGGTGTTCCAGTGGGTGAAGCTTCCTAGCGTGGCGGTCGTGATTAAAGAACCACATGGAAGGGACTGCCTGAGGCCCACAGTGCCCTCTGTTCGTATCCAGGATCCCACCCTTTTATCTGCAGGAAAGCTTCAAATGAGCCAGGTGTGGTGGCGCAAGACCTATGATTCTAGCTCCCTGGAGGTAGAGGCAGGAGGAGCCAGCACAGGCTACACTAGACTTTATCTGGAAGAAAATCTAGGAAAAAAAGGGACACTGTCAATGCTGAGAGTGCTCAGTGGGTAAGGGCACTTGCCACCAAGCCTGAAGACCTGAGTCTAATCCCTGTGAAACTACATGACGGAAGCAGAAAACCAACTTCTGTAAAATTATTCTCTGTCCTTACACACACACACACACACACACACACACACACACACACATATTTAAATAAACATAAGAATAAAAAAAAGATAAAAGATTGGGGTATGGTGGCACATGCCTTTAATCCTAGCACTTGGAAGGCAGAGGCAGGTGGATCTCTGGGAGTTCAAGGACAGACTGGTCTACAGAGAGTTTCAAAACAGCCAGGGCTGTTACACAGAGAAACCCAGTCACAATAAATAAATAAACTAAAAGAGAGAGAGAGAGAGAGAGATGAGACAGAGAATTAGGTTTTGTTTCAACTTAGGATGGAATTCTTTTTGTTTTGATTTGGTTTTTTCCTTCAGTTTTTTTCTCTTCAGGCACAGAATTTTTGTGAAAGGAAAAAAAAAAGCGTTCTGTGTTCTGGCTGCAGTCTGGGAGCCTTGCAATATTGAACCTAGGAAAGGAGCCTGGGGGCCTAGGGTGTAATTAATCTGAAGCTAGAGCCCAGCTTTGGAAAGAAACTGTCTTGTTTGTCTTTCCTGAGATTTATCGCCCCCTCCCTTTCATTAACTTATTTTGTTCTTTAGCAGATTCCTTTGGAAAAGTCCAGGCTGTTTCAGATATTTTAAGGAGGTCCTGGGCTGTAAAAAGGGACAAATGAATCCTAGAAGAAAGGCTTGTGACCTCAACAAGCAAAATAAGAATGTCCCTCAGGGGAAGGGAGCCAGCCCAGGGAGTTTCACAGCTTCTCCAGTCACGGCTTCCCTCCCATGCGCTCCCAGCCTAAAAACATGAAAGTCCAGATGAGTTTCAGGAGGGCGGAGTTTTCCTTTGCTACTTTTCTTTGAGATGTGGTCATACTGTGTAGTCTGGCTGGCCAGGAACTGGCAATATAGACCAGCGTGGCCTCTGCCTCCCGAGAATTGGGATTAAAAGCAAATACTGCCAGGCCTGGCTAAGATCCTGTATAGCTCCCTAGTGACTTCAGAGGAGCCTGAGCTAAGCCAATCCTAGCCCCAGGAAGGCTCCTTCTCTGGGGAAGATGGAAGTAGGGTCTGGAAGACAGCGGGGACCGA